TGTGTGTGTGTGTGTGTGTGTGTTTTTACATGTATGCTATGGAATGTGCACAGTGCACGCAACGCGCAGCCAGATTTTAGAGATAAGTGGTACCCAAAACTCTAGTTTAAAAAGTGCAAAGACATTTTTATCTGTCAATGTTTGGAGAAAATTTTTTTTCACACAAATGGAGTATACTTAGAAAGGCTATGCATTCAGCTGTAAGTGTTAGTGTCAAAACTGAAGTATACTTTGGCCTTTAGTCTAGCTGTAAGGTGCACGGTCTCAGTAATATAACCGTTTTCTTTATAGGGGTTGAAAGAAATCAAGAAAGAAAAGGTTTTGATGAGGCGAAAGTCTGAGCTGCCGCAGGACGTGTATACTATAAAAGCCCTGGAAGCTCACAAGCGACCGGAGGAGTACCTGACGGCCAACCAGGAAGCCCTCTGACCGGGGAGCACCGCCACCCTCCACCGCGCCTAAACTGTCCCTCTCGTCTTGGTCCAAAATTGTCGCCTGCTGTAACCCACCTCTCTATTCCTCTGCCTCTATCCATACTCTCTTCCTCCCTCGCTGTTGGAGAGCCCCGTCTGTGAAAAATCCAGCCCACAGAGCAGTGGAGAGCTCCCATAAACTCTGTCCCGCCCTCTATGTGCGCACAAACACTTTCCAAAGTCTTCACAAATCCATAGCTGCTGATCCTCACGCCAAACAGAAGCCAGCACTGGGTTGTTAGAAAGCAGTGTGGGTTACAAATGATGAAAGTATGCTCGTGTTGTGGTTTGCTTTTCTCTCCACACTCCGCTTTATTTTGTCCACTTTGTGCTGTCTCCATTTGTCCGCATGTTCCCTATCCTGGTTTTACCACTGCTTGAGAGCTTCTCCTGTATTCCAATCACTGCCTCTGTAAATCTGTTCTCTGTGTTGGCAATGAAGGGGCCAAACTTAACTAAATGAATCATGTCACTCAAGATAAATGAAGACCGCAGTGGAGATGGTGACCCTGTGTTGGATTTTCCTGTGTGTGTGCTCAGCATAGGGACTGTAGCCAAGCGGGAGCGAGCAGGGTTGTTCTTGTTGTCATACAATACACTATATGGAGAAAGCAGCTTTATAAATTAGACATGCAAATTGGAGATTTCAACCCACAAGGAATTGCAAATCTTATTTCAGATGCTTCCCTAGACGTACACCTGAGAGGGTATTTAAAAAAAAAATTCTCCATAGTGGCCTGGTGCTATAAATGCTTCAGGTAGTCATCTGGAGAAGTCATTTTTGAGGTCATGGCCACATATTAAGAGGCAGAGGCTGAAGAGTTCGACCTAATCCGTTTGCTGTTTTCCCAGTGATTGTGATAATGATCGTCAAATGTAAGGGAGATTTGTGGAAGCAATCATCTCTAAACACCACCAGCAGAGCGCTTGATGACAATGCTGTAAAAGTAGTATACAGTCTGTGCTCTAAACGCATGCACCAATGGCCTATTGGTCCACACTGCACTTATGTTTGTATGCATCCATGTTTTATTTTCGTTTTAAGACTGATACCTCTTGACCCGATACCAATCAAATCGAAACGTCCTTTTTTCACCGCCTAGTTTTTTTTTTTTGGTGTCTTGTTTTTGCTCCATAGGTTTCAGTGATGTATAAAAACTAGAAAAGAACAAAAAACTCCCTTTGAGCCTTTGAAAAGGAAACAAGATCAGGAATTACCATCCTGTCCAAGATTGTACGTTTTTTGTTGTTGCCGTTTTTTTTTCACTTTAAAGCAATATTTTTTTCAGGAATTAGAACAGTATAGAAAACATGGACTGGTCTAGTGTATGATCAAGCGCTATACAATCCTCCTAATAGGACTATATACTTAGAGAAAGATACTCGCTTGTCCAGGCTTAATATACGGAAAACTGACAGCCTGCAATTGCTGTTGCAAATACTTGTGTACTGTATATTGTCATGTAAATTGCTTATGATTGCACCCTTGCCCACCCCATGCCCATCAGTATTCCTTTTTTATGCTCCAAGTTAATCTTTTCTTTCATTCTGTTTGCTTGTACGACTCCATTCTGATGCATGATGTCCCCTCTCTGCTGTAAAGGTCTGTCTCGTGAAGTGTGACTGATCATTCCAATAGTGAGGGAACATTTACCCCTCCTACAGGCTGTTATTTCTATCCGATGCGCAGCTCAAAGGTCCCACTGTAATTCGCCTTGACGTCCACTTGCTGTGCATTCAAGCTGCTACACTTCTTCCATTGCTTCAAACACGTGCATACGTTTCGACTCGTGCTGTAACAGCCTATTAGTATGCAGTGCAGAGGTGAAGTCTTTAAATCATTAGCTGTTTGAAGTGTTGTAACGTCACCTCGGCCTATCAGCACACGGGAATGACTTGTCCGTGCAATCAAGAGCATGATTTGCCAACATGGCTGCCTCTACATAGACCAAAACATTCCAGAAACAATCAGAGGCAACTTCACTCTTGAACGCAGCATGCTTCCTTTTTCAATGCAGCTCGACAGGCGGATGGGGCCAGTGTTCAGCTTGTGTGGCAGCAACAAGAAACAGAGGGAAATAAAGAAAGTATGGGTCTCTCCACACTCACCCTTCCCTTTCCCTCATCTCCCAGGCCTTCTCAAGTCTGACACTAATCTTAAGCTGCTTTCCAGGTCATATGTACATATGTTGTACTTTAATTAGGTTGAGCATTACATAGTATGAAAGTCATATTTTGTACAGATGTTCATGTATGTACAGAACAAAAATAAAGAAACACAAAAGATGTGACGGCCATTTGTGTTGCTCAAGCCGTGTGAGATACATAAAGGATCAGTCACTCATTGCACAGGTATCAACAGTCAGATTGATTTAGATTTGATTATTACTCAGATGCACCATTACATGTCTAAACCGTCATACAAAAGCAACCTCTAAGTTGCAAAATTCTCCACTTTACAAACAAACAAACAAAAAAAAGCACAAGAACACTGCATAATTAATACAACTGGGTTAAAAAAACATGGTTTTTCAGGACAGGTTTTGCCTACTGTGTAGCTGCATCAACTGGACACTTGCTGTGTATTAGTTCAAAGCAATTAAAAGGCAAACTATTAGATTCAAGAATTTCAAGTCCACAGTTTGTATAAACCACAGCTAAGGTGATCAATATGCCTTTTGATTTGTTTGAGATGAGCGAATGTCAGAATCTCTGTTTCTGCAGTGTAAGACGAGGCTCTTGAAAAGGTTTCACTTGCGTTCTAGTCTCAGGCCTGCAGAGCTTTGTCTGGACTGAAGCGTCTGCTGGACCATGTCCTTCCACTGGTCGTCAGAGATTTCCTGGGCCCAGGCAGGAATTCCTAGTGTCGGCAAATTTACAGCCGCCATGGTCGTTTTCACCAGCTCAACGTGATCTGTGATGACAAAAATAAAAAAGATATTGATACCTAAAATATATATTGCTAACATATATTTTATAATGCTAATATCAACCAATATATCAGTAAATGCATTCGTTGATATTACCGCTTTTTTTATTTTAAATGTATCTATATTGGTATAAGATAATGGATATTTTATTGTGCATACTAATTTTTGTATTTAGTTTACCTTTGCTGTCATCGACTGATCCTTTTAAGTCTTTAAAAACACAATATAATCTATGGTAGAGAAAAAACACAGTATAATGCGAAGCCTAATTTAAGTTTTTAAAAGGACTGATTTTAGTGTTTTATTTTACATTTAAGGAAAATAGTACAGATTTTTAATACTGGACATTAAAAGGCCACAACATTAAATTAATCATCTGTATTTTTGACACGTTAAAAACTGAATTTTGACAATGTTTAAAAATTCCACCTGTTAATTCCAACTGCACATTTTCTGTCTGAAATATCACTAATGTCAGTCAAGCTAAACATTTTTTGTACTTTCGTTTAATCTGACCTATAAATTCCAATTGTGCATACATTTTTTTTTACCAATATTACAAACTAATATTACTGTTGAATTCAACAATTTTGTGTACTTGCATCATTCCACCTGTTAAATCCAAAATTCCAATTGTGCAAATTTTCTGTTTTGAATAATACTAGTAGTATTACTCAAGTTAAATTCAACAATTTTGTTAGTTCGTTTTGTTTGTTTGCTAGTATTAAGTTGTATTCTTTATAACAGGCATTTAAAAATATCAGTCAACCAAGTTCATATGTATATAAATATAATATAGCTGCATTGTTTCAAAGCAGCTTTACAGAAAATCATATTAATGTTTACAATATCTTAAAATCTTCATGCATTAGTCACATTTAGCAGATTAAAGCTGGATGACAGTATGGTTTACATTTTGCAATGATAAAAACAATCAAGCAGTTTTTTTTAAATAGCAGATTTGCTTTGTAGTTTATCCTATATATTTTGCTCCCACGAACTAATGCAACAAATGTGAAGTCTGTTCTCTTTCTCACCTGCATCCATGGGAATGGACGCATGACTTCTATGAGCAGCGGCTCCTTCAGGCTCCTCCTCTTCATCGCTGTCGGGAGGAGGAGGCTGGGGCAGGAACAGACCCATGGCCTGCAAAATGATCATAAAGATGACAACAAGCAATTAGTGGGTAGGGTACACCAACACTAGTCCACACCGGCTAACCAGAAAGATGAGGGTGCCTGCAACAGTCAGAAAGAAGACTCCCTTGTACTGTACCTCTATTCTGTCCTGGACCTCCTGAAGCTGCTCTGCGGTGGTTCCTTCATCCGCGGGCTCTGTGTGTGAGCCGTTCATCCCGTCTGGGTGTTGATTCAGAGGCTGATAATAATATCCAGCATCGTCCTCGTCCCCAGCGCCTCCTTCCTCCTCCTCCTCCTCCATGTCCTCTCCGCTCCACTCCTCCGGCGCCGCGGCGTCTAAAGGCCGGTCCTGCACCACATCATCCTCGGAGTTCGGCAAGATTCTCTCTGGACCCATCCCTCGGGCCCTCGCCACTTCCATTCAAGAGCTGCTAACAGACACAGCGCGCATGCGAGACTCTTTCATTTCGGCAGAGGCATTGACAGCTGTTACATAAACACTGCTCGCCTCTTGACATGCTAGAAAAATATATACGTTTCTTACATGTTGTGTATGTTGTATAGAGCCAACATCCGCCTGTCAAAGTAAGCTTAAGCTATAAAGTCCCGTTTGGTCACATACACCTACAATTCCAGGGTACCGAGTTACGAATACGACGGTTTACCATATAAAGCAACATGCCGTGAAAGATCTCTGATTGTTTTCTCTTACCTGTTTCTTCTGGCGAGCTCTTTTATCCAAATGTTTTGAGCAGATCTGTCTGTATCTGGAGTGCTGCCCGCTTAGGCCGTTATTTGCTTCCGGTACTGCGCAGAAGCACAACTGCGCATTGATTGCGTCACGATACGTCGTCTTCTTCTTCTTCTTCTCTCGAGTTTTTTTGGCGGATTGGCAAACCAACGTTAAAGGCCAGATGATTTGTCCTCCTGAGTCTCTTCCCTGTCGGACTGTGTTGAGTTTTTGTGATGGTAGGATGATTTCTCTGTAGTTGGGTGGGCAGCGGGTGATGGTGTCTGCCCTGCTCCATGTCTCCTGCAGAATTATAATATCCATCTCTTTGATGCTCTTCTGAAACAAAACCAGTGCATAGACCGTAAAAACAAGACCAAAACAACCATCTTCATTGACACTGCCGCATGAAAAAACATCCAAAATATTCTTCCTGAAGTATATTCCTGAAATATTCTCCTGCGCAGATATGTAGTCATTCATTTAGACTTATAAGTCACTTATGTGAGTTTAATTTTTAACCTTATAATTTTATTAGGTACATTTAATATATATTAAAGCAAAATTGGAAATTACAATCTAACGAGTTATAAATCTTAAAGATTAGGAATTTATTTTTAATTTTTTTCCTCGTTTATTTTCATTTAGAAAATATTAGCTTAATTCGTTTTTTTTTTGTTTTTTTTATTACTGTAACCTATATATTTTAAGTCGTTTGATATGGGGCCCTTGGTGTCCATGTGTTTTCTTTTTAATTCTTTAATGGAAAAAAAAGGTAAAATAAATAAATCTATGAGGGCGCATAATTAAATATCTTGTAGTAAATTATATATAAAAACCGTTTTCATTAATAGTGCCGCATGAAGTGTTGTGAATACCGTGAATATCGCCACACGTGTGTTCGAGCGGGAAAAGGTTCTGTTGTCATGATGTTTATCCGTTGAAAGCAGTACAGCGCTGTGAGCTCAACCTAAGTTAATAACAATATAAATGATAATACATGTAAATTATATATCACATGTACTTTATAGAAATAAAAAGACACATGTAACATGACCTGAAGAATGGTGTATTTACAGTTACACTAAAAAAGTCATTTTGCTTCAGGCCTTTTATCATTAACCATGTTCTCTGTCTTAATTCTGTTGTATCAGGCTCCATCACAATCTGAGGGATTCAGTGCAGTTTTTCCGTCTCTGTCTCAGTGATAGTAGCTGAGGTGAGACAGCCATCTTTAGGAGTCGGTTATGAGCTCGGTCGAGCTGTAGCAGTGAACAAGAGGGTTTTCGGTCTCTTCAGACCTTCTTCTGGAAAAGGTATTAAGACTTTCTCCACATAATAGATATCCACATAAATATTTTTCATCTCCCACTCTCCAGTGCTGTCTGCCATGATCAGAGGAGCATCGACAAACTCACTCTTCCAAGTCCAGGACTACACAGAGGATGAAGTCGAGAGTATCTTGGAGAAATATTTTGATAGTATCACCAAGAACTGATGAGCACATTTCAGTGAATCATAACAGATAAGTGCAACTTCTATATGCTTCACCTCTCATTTTACAAAGTGAGTAGGACAGTCTTCCTTTGGTGGGCATTTTATATTACATTTTCAGTGAGAATGTAAATTAAGCGGTGTATTGTTACTTACATGTGAATAAATCTCTTTCAGCTAAACGCTGGTGTTACATTGGGTAACACACTGTAAATAAATGATGGTACATAAATATCTCACTGTGGGGGGGAGTGTCATGAAAAAGGGTTGAGATCCACAAACTATCATTGTTTTGAATTGTCCACCAGGGGTCACTTGATGTCTTTATTTTCTAAAGCATTGGTAGTGCACAGATTGTGTGCTTGTGACGTGAGGTGTGGCCAAGTACATGTGTGGTTTGTTAGGATATTGGCAGAGATACAACTATTTGAAAATCTGGAATCTGAGGGTGCAATCAAAAATAAATCAAAATACTGAGAAAATCGGCTTTAAAGTGGTCCAAATGAAGTTCTTAGCAATGCATATTACTAATCAAAAATTAGGTTTTGATATATTTACGGTAGGAAATTTACAAAATATCATGGAACATGATCTTTACTTAAAATCCTAATGATTTTAGGCATAAAAGAAAAATCGACAATTTTGACCCATACAATGTTTTTTTGGCTATTGCTAAAAATATACCCCAGTGACTTAAGACTGGTTTTGTGCTCCAGGGTCACAAATACAGTACTGAACACGTATTGCTCAAGGGTCTCACCTCGTGGTATTAAGGGTGGAAGAGAGTGCTGGTTATTCACTTTCCCCACCGACAATTCCTGCCGGACCTGAGACTTGAACCCACAACCTTCGGGTTACAAGTCCGACTCTCACAACTTTAAAATGTGACAATGCAAAGCAAAAAGTTTTTTTTTTCAGCTCAAAAAAGTCAGTTAAAAATCATGGCACTGTTTGTCATGCATTATGTGATGGTCAAATTCAGGGCTAAAGGGGATGGAGTGTGTTGCATAGAAAAGTTAATTTAGTCATGGCAACTGTTATACAAAGACATTTTTGTAGTTTATGACTGAGTAATTTAGGCATAGTTCAACTATTACACAGTTCAAAACTTTAATACACACAGATCTGTATAAAAATACACATAACAATACAAAACAAATGTACATTTCACCAATAAATTACATAAATTATATTTACACTTAAGAATACTGCTGTTAATGTATCGTTATGTATCACGAAAATTGTTCCCATAAAATTTATATTAAATACCTGCTTAAACGAGTATCGTTATGTATCACGAAAAACGTTCCCATAAAATTTATATTAATAACCTGCTTAAATGAGCGTCACTATAATGTTAAAGGGAACGTTACATTGTCATTTAAAACATTTTCATAAAGCAAAAAGAATAAAACTTACTTGGCATATACTCACTCACAATGAAATATTTTACAGTTTGAACACTTGGCGAAAATGGCTACACATACATCTGAAATTAAAAGCACTTTTAGCAACGTGGCTTGATTATATACATACAGTACTAATGTAACATAATGGAAGTTTTGATATATTTGGGTGGTTTAGTGCTTCCCTTTTTTTACATGCAGCCCATTAGTGCTACTGTTTACTCTTTGAGTACAGACATCATATCAGCAAATACAGTAGTTCCCAGTCAACATGAAACAGCATCTGCAACCCACTTTACCTTCATAATGTGACATACTGTATTTCCAGGTTACACAGTATATTAAAACAAGAAAAAGGGTAAGGTGTCATTCAATTTGATCCATTTTTAACTGATTGGATATTAAAAAGTGCTCTCCGTATGAAAATTAAGAAAGTCCTGAAACACAAGGTGAAAAAAAGTCTATTTCCTCTAAAATAATTCTCTAATTTGTTTTTTGTTTGTTTTTTAACTTTTTTTTTTTTGTAACTTTACAAAATTGATTAATCTTTGTTAATGTTTATAAAAATACAACTGTTTATTGTTAGTTCAGGTTAGCTTAGGCCTATTAAATAATATTAACTGATACTTTTGAATTCAATTACTAATGTTGAAATGAACAGTAAGATTTAAAATAATTTGTCATTGTTAATGTTAACTAACCATATTTAAAGTGGATTTTTTTTTCCTGTGTAAACATTTTCTTGGCATCTGGTGGCTGAGGTTGGTATTACATGATTACTGTTAGCTAGCAAGCTAACAAGTGTTGCCTTTATTGAATAAAAAAAAGGTTAAAAACCAAAATACAGAGAAAAAAATTGGGTGAAGGAAATAGACTCTCTATGGTTCAGGGTTTCCATCAAAAATATTGCTTGGTGAGATCAGCCAAAATGATTTTCAGTGGCAGAGCAAGTTATTACATTTTTGATGAAATATTACACAAACAAGTCTTGGAATACTTGGAATAATTTTCCAAGACCAGGTACGAGCACTATTGATTTCATGTCGACTCTACCTGACCTAATGTTCCCTCAGCAGTACATGCCTCACTTGTGACATCTCTGATTAAAATAAAATACTAATTGGTTCTTTATTTCTGTGTAATCACTCTGAATAATGACCACCTTTTTTCAACGACCAACTCTCAGATTCATCAGTACTGTCTTATCTTTTGAGAGGTCAGAAGTGGCCCTTTACTTCAACAATAGCAGCTGCATGATCTCTGCGGCTAAAAGATGTCGGTGTTCAGCCTCTTCTTCTCGAGCTCGGCTGGAGCCGGAGACTGGAGGAAACTGATCTTGCATTCCTGTTGCGCAGGCACAGGGTTTGTCCGACATCGGTGGAATGGGCGATGGTGAGCGGGGGCAGGTCTGCACCGACAGCGAGCCGATCGGTCCTGGCAATGTCCGCGCAACACCAGACCAGCTGTTAGTGCCACCACGGCCAAAGTCATGCCCCCCAACACCAGCAGGATGATGAGCTGCAGCTCTGACAGCCCTTCTGCCCCATGCTGAGTCACCACTGAAATTTTGAACGAGCGTCTCTCCTCTCCACTAAGAGTGGTCCCGTGGGAGCGATTGACTAGAGCAGGTTTGCTCCGAGTAAGTCGGTCTCCTTCGCCCCTGAACGGAGACACAGCTTGAGGTTCCGACTCCCAGACTTGAATCTCGCAAGTTCTTCCAGTGTAACCTGGAGAGCAGAAGCACTGGAAGGTCGAGACTCGATCTATACAGCGTCCTCCGTTGAGGCAGGGCTGGCTGGCGCAGTCGTTTAGGTTGATGGTGCAGAAACGGCCGGTGAAACCTGCAGGGCACAGGCAGGAAAAACGGTTCACACCATCCAAACAGGTGGCGCCGTTGGCACAGGGGCGCATCAGGCAGTCATCCATGTTGGTCTCGCAGCGGGGCCCCGTGAAGCCAGCCAGGCATCGACAAGACAGTTCTGGAGCGTAACCACCCAGATCCTCACAGAGGCCGCCATTCTTGCAGGGGGACCTGCAGCAATAAATGTAAGAATTGAAAATATCTGTTGGCAGGCGGGCCCCGTGAAGCCAGCCAGGCATCGACAAGACAGTTCTGGAGCGTAACCACCCAGATCCTCACAGAGGCCGCCATTCTTGCAGGGGGACCTGCAGCAATAAATGTAAGAATTGAA